GGTACGTGCCAATTCTCCTTCTAATCTCTGAACGATGCCTTCTTTCGGCATCATCTTCTCCTATCCTTGGGAGAAGGATCTCCTTAGCGTCTCTGTCAAGTCGCTGATGATATTCCAGTGTGCTTTCACTGGTGGTTCTTTTCGTGAATTTTTCACGAGTTCTATTTATGTCCTGGACCGTGGTCCAGGGGTGTTTATTTGTTTCCTCACTTTTTTGTGAGAAATTTATTTCCTTCAGCAAATCTGTTTGTTCGCTGATTTTTTCAGTCAACGCGTCGATTGCATTGGCCATTCTTTCTAGAGTTATCTCTAGACGAGCCATGCTATTATGGTTCGTTTCCTCGATCTTTTTTTGGATCGAGTTTATCGCGTTTATTATGCACGATTCCTGGTTTTCCAGGAGGAAGTTTGGTTGGGCGAGCAGTGACTCTCCCCAGTTGACATTTCCGCTTCTGGGGGTTCCAGAATGGGTTCTTGGAGTGAACACTCCACGCTCGCTTTGTTTAGGTGAGGCCGTTGTGGAGGGTGCTTCCCTTTCATAGAGGGGTCTGTTCGCTGGTTTCTCCTTACTTTTACGTAAGGCTTCCTCTGCGAACTCCCTCATTTCAGTTCGCCTCCTCTTCATTATCTCGGAGACCTCCTCCGAAGTTGGTGACCTTGCCTTGTCTGGCATGGTGTGTGGGAGTGTAAACAGCGGAAGTTCTTTTGGAGCTTCCGCGCTCTGGGAGATCCTGCTCTCAGGGTGTATTTTCGCACCTTCTCGGGCTTTCAGCCTGAGAAGAAGTTGATCTTCACTTTCCGTCCTCCATTTGGACGGAACCTGGAACAAGTCCAGTAGTTTTTCGGATAGCTGACGTGGGGGCTCTTCCCTTTGTTTCCTTTGTCTGCCTTTGGGGCTTGACTTGGGGACGTGAGGGGGGACTCCAGGGGATAGTGGGGCCCTGGAGTTTCCTGCAACTCTATCCGATCAGCTTTTTGGGCTGATTGTTCGGCGCTTACGCGTTTTTCACGCAAGTCGATCACCTCGTGAGGAGGTGATGGATCTTCCCCAGCTTGGGTTAGATCGGTATGTTGTGGAGTTCTGGGGGTATTTCGCCCTGCACTTACTCCACGTAAGTTTCTAAAGCCTTCAGGGACCAGCCCTGAGGTGGTTGCTATTGCCGGATCATGTTGATCCTTGTCATTGTCTGACGACAGCTTTTGGTTTGAATCTCCCTTGATGGGAGATTGCGGTTTCTTTATAAACGGCTCGTTTCTTTTTAGTGTCGCTGCAGATGCGACCTTGCCCTTGCGGGCGTGTTTAGGCGCCATAGGCACTTCCGAGTCAGATGTTAAGATTGTGTAGTTGTGGGTTGTGTTGTAAAACACACCTCATGCACTTAAAAAAGTGTGAGGTCTTAGGGTTGCTCAGCACACAAGGCCGTAAGTGATACAAGATAGTGTATGTATTTTATGGTGGTGTGTAAGCAGTTACCCGGAGGTTCCCGCTTGCCCACGTGACTATGTGTATCTAATTTACATGTGACTCAGGGTTCGGGGCTATTGCCCTGACACTCGGCCTTAGTCCATTGCATTGGTGACCTCATACTACATAAACACCATTGCCAATATTCCTCGGACTTTCAACCCCGCCTCCATAACCTCCATAACCTCCGTAACTTCCAAGCTCCACAGATCATCTTCGGCTCTTTCGCTGCTTGTAATGTATCTCTTGTGTTTTCCCCTCATCCCTATTTGGACTGCTGCTTCTTCCCATTCTAGCCAGTTAGTCATCATCCCCACTTCCCCTCATCCTCCTGCCCCTCTGGGCTTCGCCCTCCTTACCTCCTTTCGGACGTACCACAGGTTCTGCCTTATGACCTTCGGTACCGCTCCACTTCTGTCTTCCCTTTGTTCCTGTTCGGATGCCTTCATTCCGATTCGGATCCCCTTTGTTTCCTTGTGCTTTTGCCCTCTCCATTATATATATTGGCACTTGTACATACTCGTTTTAGTCCTTAGTCTAAAAATCGACCTGAAATGCCCCCTAGAGACTTCCTGCTCGCCTCCTATGAAATTAAGGACCAAATGGACAAACAGCAATGGCACAGTGCTCCGCTTGAGTCGCTGAGGCCAAGGTCCCTCCTTGCTAAGTCTCCGGTTCCCCTCCGGAATCGTCTGCCCTTGCCCAGTTCTAACAGAAAGACCTTACAGACAAAAAGCTGCGGGACATACTCAAGACCCATCCCTGTGTGATTATGTTTCCTACCCAGTGTGAAGGAATGAGACATTGTATGGCAGTTTGCCTGTTGGATGTATGTGGGAATACACTGATGGAATCTGTACTGCAATATTTTAGCGAGCGACAAAGAAGGTCTGAACCGATCTTTTCGATGCAACCAGTTGGATGATTCCATGTTACTCAAGGAGGCATGGTCACTGGCTGCTCAGTGTTGTCAACTTCGAACAACGAGAGCTGCGCTATCTTGACAGCATACCTCTACAACAAAGTGCCCATATCAATCGCCATGGTCCACAGTGCGTGTTTACAGTGCGTTTCCTAATTCTAGCCCACATTCCAGTCTTAATGTTACCGCTTTCTTCAGATACTTCGAGGCCTAGTTAATGCCATCTGGTTGTTCATTCACCCTGATGATGAGCATGGATACAACTGGTCCAATTGGTCCACCAGAGTAATCACTGTAGGTGTGCCATCTTGCTGTATGAACATCATATACATTACAAGTCCTAGATGGAACAGCGCCAATGGAACGGGTATGATTGTGGGGTTTGGACCATGGCTGACATTCAAGCTGTACACATCGGGCTCGATGCTGCACCGAAAGACACGAACATCAATGATTTTTGAGATAGGATGAAACACCAAATCCTTTCTATTCCTCTGTTAACACCGAGCTGGCAGCCTACCTGGAGAACCCTAAATCCTGACCTTATTTGTGAACTGCGGTGCCGAGCCGCTAAAGTGGCTGCAAACTTTCCCATTGATTATGCCCAGCTTGGAATTGATCATACGGACATTCCTTTAGTGTTAGATAATGAACAGGAAAAAATAGACTCAACTGACTAGCGGAGTTTATGTATGCCGGTGTTGAGCCTCTCCTAATAAGATACTTGATGCACCAGTCAAGAGTCAAGCATTCTAGGCCGATGCCAGGTAGCAGCAACCTGGAAACGATGACATGGGATGCCAGGAGGCACTCTTAACCTCCTTGGCTTATGTTCTGTCATTTTGAAGAACTGTCAGGTGTAATCGGTACGAAAACAGCTCGCATTCCCAATTAAGTGGACATACATTCCAGTACTCCACAAGCATGTTGAGGCAGGCAAAGTGGAAGACAATCCATCCGAATCGTCTTTTGGTGACTTGAACTGCAGGAAGTGGTAGGCGAGTATAAATTCGGTGGTGCTACATGGTACTAGGCTTGTTTAAGTGAAGTCATTCAGAAGGTTGCCTGTATTGGGGGACTTCTTGCTGCTCTCGTTCCTGCAACACTGCATGAAATGGACATGTGTACACCTGTAGGACATCGTCCCTTCCAGAGCTTTTGAGCGGTCCACATGCTCAAAATCCAGATCGGCCCAAAACCACACTTCATAACCATCCTCACTGCAAAACGCTCAGAATTTCGAACAGTGTGCCATCTGGTTTCATGAACAGTGAGCTGGGGCATTCAATGTCTGCATGAGGTGCAGTGACATTCATCATATAAGCCCGTAACCTCTAGCTGGACCATTTCGCATCACCAAGCGTGTAATGGGTGAACTTCCTACTTTGTAAACCCCGTCACAGCGATCTCCCTGTGTCTGTCATATCCATCCCCAGCCATCGACTTCCAGTCCCTCTGATTCCTCTGGTCCAACTCCACTCCTTCCTCACTAACCTCGGAGCTCCCGTATTCCACAATCCTCTCGGTACCCCTCGATGGTCACCACCCCCTCCTTTCAATTTATTACCTATGCCTCCCTAAGTACGGAGCCCTGAAGACTTCCGGACAGCTCCGACATCCGCTAGCGCACTCCCGTCTCCACTGGGCAATACGCTCGCCTGCCTTTCCGCTAACCCTGCGACCTGACTTGTCGGTAATATTCAGTCGGCTAATGTTTAACCCCATTAGCTCCATTCCGTTCGGCTCCACCAATTGCGGACCCATCTTCACTGTAACCATATATATATCCCACTTGTACATAGGTTACACTCCAGTAATAAAATCAACTAGAGTTACCCCCCCTTCGGTTCTGATTGCCAGTCAGTAAGTTAGGGCATGGACGTGTCACTAGGCACAGCACTCTTGGCATAAGTCGCTGAGGCCAAAGCCCTCCATCACGGAGACTCTCCCTCATCTCGAATCTGGTCTCTGACAGTGTCTCCCGTACGTTTCGGCTTAACTTCTCTCTTTATGTTCATTATGCTAACTTACATCTCATACCTTTTAGTTTTTCCCATGTTTCCTCAGAGCATGTTGTTCTTTTGTTGGCTTGCTTCTCTCCTACCTCGCCTTTCACCGCATGATACAGTAAGTCATTCATTCTTGCCAATGGTGAAGATGCTATCTTCGGTGGGTTTCGGCAAGTTGGGCCCCGAATGAGTTTGTGCTGTGACCACCCTTCCTTTTTGTCATCTACAAGTGGGTTCTTCTCTTTCTAACCTGGGCTTTCACATCTTCTGTATCGGCACTACCATCCTCCCCTATCTCCTCTTGTTAGTTTTTCCTTTCTTTTTATCGTTGTACGTCCGGGCCCATGCTCTGTCCGTTTGCATGCATGATGTAAGATAGACGACGTTCATAAGTCGTCACTATGGTGGCAATTGCCGAATGTGGCAGTGCAGGTCACGAGCGGCCAATATTTCCGTGGCAAGCTGGAGGGGCCAAGAAATTCATGTGTATCATTTGGATCCCGACTGACCATGTGTTAAATGTACTATCTATGTATTCCTTTCAATATTCCTAGGGGTTGCATTGCCTCAGGTAGGAGTCTATGACACCCTTTATATTTTTGATGCCCATCAGAATTTGACTAAATAGCACATCACCTCCTCTCCATTATTTGCACAACAGCGCTTTGCATGCAGAGGGAAAAGGGAATGAAGAATGAATAAAATAGTTTCCTTTTTTGTATTCGGCAGTCTCCTCAATTCAATTATACTCAGCATAACCGGCCAACTTGAAATCCGTTCATTTTTTTTGATCGCAAAATTCATGTCGGGGTTGAAAGATATTCTTGATTCTGATGTCCAGAAGTATTTTGCTCCTCATTTGATGATAACGATAGATACTGAAGTTTGGGCACCAAGAAGTCATAAAGTGGTATCATTTCTACAACTTCTCAGTTCTACATTTGCATCAAAAGTGCAGTGTCAGGGATGAGGTGAGGTGCAAGTTGTGCCGTGATTTGCTTCCGGATAGTGACGACTTATGAACGTCGTCTATCTTATAATGGCTAAAACGTGTCAACATAATGTATTTTCAGCTCCCCCCAACAAACACCCGGAACCTGGGCAGTAACTTCTGGATAGTAAACTAAACTAAGGCGCCCGTTGAGATCTCTGTCCGAAGTCTCTGAACATCGTCCTCCAGCTCCATGCATCTCAATGCAAGCCATGCATACTCATCAACATTGACGCTGCAGTGGGGGCACTTTGGGTTCTCTCCGATGGCAGGCCAACGTTCCATAGCTGAGAATTTGTCATCCATTTCTAGCGTGCCTGAATGTGCCCTTCACGGTACCGAATGTAGTGCTGGTTTGGCCTGCCTTAGTATTCCTTAGTATTCAGCCTTGCCTATTAGCGAGGCATCTTACCGCTCAGGTTTGTGAGTTCCCATTGAATGAGTAGCGGATACCTTGGTTGCGGCATTCAGGGGTTCCAATACAAGCCCGATCTCTCTTATTCAATGTCATGTTAGTCTGCAATCTATTTCTGACATTCACGATTGTCTCCTACGCTTTGAGTCTTCCATGATGATTGCATTGTTTCAGTGTATTAGCTGCCTGGCACTCATCAGCTGTTGTGTACAATCGGGGGCATTGTCAGAGACCAGATTCGAGACGAAGGAGAGTCTCTGTGGCGGAGGGCTTTGGCCTCAGTGACTTATGCCAAGAGCGCTGTGCCTAGTGACACGTCCATGCCCTAACTTACTGACTGGCAATCAGAACTGAAGGGGGGGGGGGTAACTCTAGTCGATTTTATTACTGGAGTGTAACCTATGTACAAGTTGGATATATATATGGTTACAGCGAAGACGGGTCCGCAAATGGCAGAGCCAAACGGAGCCAAACGGAGCGGAGCTAATGGGGTTAAACATTAGCCGACTGAATGTTACCGACGAGTCGGGTCGCGGGGTTAGCGGAAAGGCAGGCAATAACCCAGAAATGGAAAGGAGGGATAGGCCCGAAGGTGGGCTCTGCAGGGCAGGCGAGTGTATTGCCCAGCGGAGGCAGGAGTGTGCTAGCGGACGTTGGAGCTGTCCGGGAGTCTTCAGGGCTCCGTACTTAGGGAGGTGTAGGTAATAAATTGAAAGGAGGGGGTGGTGACCATCGAGGGGTACCGAGAGGATTGCGGAATACAGGAGCTCCGAGGTTAGTGAGGAAGGAGCAGAGTTAGACTGGAGGGATCGGAGGGACCGGAAGTCGATGGCTGGGGATGGATATGACAGTATCCCCTTCTTAGGCCTGAACCCTTGAAGGCCCAGAATTAGTAAGGTGAGGGGAGCTGTACTTACAGAAAAAGAAAGAAAGAAAATGGGAAAATGAAAACGGAAGTGAGGAGTGGAGGGAAAGGGGAAATGGGAGAGGAGTCAGGGTTCCTAAGGAGCTTCGGGTCCAGGCTTCGCTGGGTACCGAGAGTGGAATGCTTCGACAAGGTCGGAGGCGTGATCGAGTTCGCTGGCAAGGAGCCATTGTGTCTCCTCATCAGTCCCTTCATAGCCCAGCCACTTGACCAGGTAGAGCAACTTGTTGCATCTACGTTGGTTGATCTTGGAGTCGAGTATCTCCTCGATCTTGCCTTCGATTTCTACAGGAGGCGGAGGTGGCTGGTGGCGGTTCGGAATGATGTTTGGGATGGAGGGTTCGATCTGCGAGACATGGAATACTGGGTGAATGGCTCACATGTTTTCTGGCAGGCAGAGAGTGAGGGAGTGAGTACCAATGCAGGCGATGATCTCTAATGGGCCGAGGTTTTTCTCGGAGAGCTTTTGGGAAGGTCTGGTGGAGCGGAAGTACTTGGCCTTTATGTAGACCGAGGTTCCTACTTCGAAAGTTGGGGCAGGGCTCCGACAGGAGTCTGCCGGGCCCTGATAACGGATCTGAGCGAGATGCATTTCCTTGCAAAGGAAGTGGTGGAGGGAGTCAAGATCGACGGAGTACTCTTGGGCACGTACTGATGTCAGGTCTCGCTCCGGGTGAACGGTGATGTTCGGGTGGTAGCCTTTGTTGGCGAAGAACGGGGAGATGCCCATGGTGGCATTCGGAGCGTTGTTGTATGCGAACTCTGCGAGAGGCAGGAGTTCGGACCAATTGTCCTGCTGGTAGTTACTGTAGATGTGCAGGTACTACTCGAGCGTCTAGTTCATCTGTTCGGTCTGACCGTCTCCTTCTGGATGATAACCAGAGGTGAAGTGGAGGCGGATGTCGAGGGCCTTACCAAGTGAACGGAAAAAATGAGAGACAAACTCCGGGCCCCTGTCGGAGGTGACGTTGGATGGAACTCCGTGCTTGGAGAACACATGGAGGAGGAAGAGCTTGGCCAGTTCTGGAGAGGTGATGGTATCGTGGGTAGGGATGAAAATGCACTGTTTGGACAGGCAGTCCACAACGACCAAGATGGAAGTGAATCCGGAAGAGGAGGGTAGCTGTTTGATGAAATCCATGGAGATGGAGTTCCAAGGACGTTTGGGGATGGGGAGTTGTTTGAGTAAGCCGTAAGGCTTATGACGGGGGACCTTGGCATGGGCACACGAAGTGCAGGAGGATACATAACTCTTGACAAAGTTACGGATGCCCGGCCAGGTATACTCACGACGTACTAGATCCAGAGTCTGGTTTTGCCCGAAGTGTCTGGAAAGTTGGTGGTTGTGTTTGTCTCGCAAAATGCGGAGACGGAGATCGTTAGAATCCGGCACGTAAATGCGATTGTCCAGCCTTAAGAGGCCTTCGGCATCAACGGACCAGTGGGAGTTGGGGAGGTTGGGGGAAGCGAGATGAGAAGAGATTGTGGTGTCGGAGGAGAGGGAGGTTAGGATGTCTCGATGAAGAGCCTCTGTGTCGACAAGTACGGCTGCTCGGATTACTGTGGCAGCTAGGAACATAGCTCGTAAGGACACAGTGAGCTGCTCCGAAGTGAAGACCAGTTGGAAGTTCTGCGGATTGATGCAAGCATAGTCCATATCCCCTTCTTTGGGATAGACGTCCCAGTGTCTAGTCAACGCATCTGGTTTAACTCCAAGTCTTCCGGGACAGAATCGGACAGTCATGTGGAATTGGGAGAGGAACTCCAACCAGCAGGCTTGCCACCAGGTCAAGAGTTTGGTGGTGGAGAAATACTCGAGGTTCTTGTGGTCGGTGACGACGTCGATTGGGGTTCCTGAACCTTCGAGGTAATGACGCCATGATCGGAACGCATCATGAATGGCGAGCAGTTCCTTGTCATGGGTGTTGTAATTGAGCTCCAGCGCCGAGAGTGTTCTAGAGCGGAAAGCAACAGGGCGAATCTCTCCGTCATCACAGTGAATGGAAAGGATTCCGGAGATCGCGTAATCGGAGGCACCGGTTTCTACAATGAGGGGGGCGTCGGGTAGCCAATGTGTGAGGATAGGAGCGGAAGTGAAGGCTTCTTTCAAGGTGTTGAAAGCAGAGTGACAATCGTCAGAGAATAGCCAGGGGGCTCCTTTACGCGTGAGGCACGTCAAGGGGACCACAATGTCGGAGTATTGGTGAATGAAACGCTGATAGAAGTTAGCGAAGCCAAGGAAGGATTGGACATCCTTGACTTTACGGGGCTCAGGCCAATCTTGGATGGCTTTGACCTTCTCGATGGACATGGTGAGTCCGGAAGGAGAGAGGCAGTAACCGAGATATTCCGTAGTGTCCGTATGAAACTCGCATTTCTTTGGATTGGCATATAGGCCGTGTTTGCAGAGTCTCCTAAGAACTTCTCGGACATGCTCCTGATGTGAAGCCATGTCTTCCGAGTAGGTAAGGATGTCGTCTAGGTAGACTACCACAGAAACGTCCAAGAGGTCGGCAAAGATCGTGTTGACGAATCGCTGGAAAGCCGCAGGTGCATTTGTGAGACCAAATGGCATGACAAGCCACTCATAGGAACCATAGCACGTGCAGAAGGAGGTCTTCCATTCGTTGCCTGCTGCAATGCGAACCAGGTGGTAAGCATGCCGGAGGTCGAGTCTGGTGTAGACCATGGTGTGGCTAGGTGCGTCAAGGAGGTCGGAGATGTGGGGAAGTGGGTAGCGGTCCTTTTTGGTGATCTTGTTCAGCCCTCGGAAGTCGACGCAAAGACGGAGGGATCCATCCTTCTTGCGGACGAAGAGGACCAGTGCCGCATGAGCGGAAGTAGTGGGGCGAATGAACCCAGAGGCCAGGTGTTCATCTAAGAACGCCCGGAGGGCCTCGAGTTCCGAAGTAGAGAGAGAGTACATGGTACCCAAGGGTGGGGAAGTGCCTTCCTCAAGGTCGATCTTTAGGTCATGCTCACGGTGCGGTGCCAGCATCGAGGCTTTTACTGAACACATCCACGAACTCGTGATACTCCTTCGGAACGGCCGAGAGGTCAACAGAATCGGTGTGGGGTGAGGCAGCCCTCAATCGGCTTTCCTCGGAAGGGATGGTTAGGCTGAAGGATACCAATCCTTCAAGTCGGCAAGCCTTCGCGAATGCGGAATGGCTGACAAACTCGATAGATGGTAACGGAGGAGTAGCAGCCTGTGACTGAGGTGCTGGCGAAACATCAGATGGTTGGATGTTGGACGACGGCAGTGGTGCTGGAGACGACGGGGGAGAGCTCGGAGTAACTGTCTTGGTAGGTTCGGAAGTTCGGAACGTAATACTGCTTGAGACCCAGTCAATCAACGGATTGTAGCAGGTAAGCCAGTTGTGTCCTAGGACTAGGGAACATGATCCATCCAGCGATGTGACAAAGAAAGTCGTGGGGGTGATGTTTCCGGAAGCGAAGCGGAGGGGAATATCAATGGCATGGGTTATGATTGAGTTGGTGCTACCGTCGAATAGGTGTAGTTGTAGGGGTTTAATCTGGTATGTCTTCAAGGCCAACTTTTTTACGAATGTGTCGTCGATGAAGCAGTCCGAAGAACCAGAGTCTACGAGTGCAGGTACGTTCTCATAGGAGCGGAAAAGTTTATTTTGTGTCCTAACATTGGACGGAGGAGAAACAGGAGGAGAGAAAGAAGAGAAGCGGAGAGAGGTGGATTGATCTATGGAAGTAGTCGGAGGGGGCAGAGGAGAGAGTGGTACATCAGCAGCACTATCTACAACGGGTAGAACATTAGCCGAAGGGTCAACATTAAGAGGAGAAAATAGACCATTTGAAAGAGAAAAGGAAACGGGGATGTGGAGGGAGGATAAGTCGGAAATGGAAGACGCGTTTAAACGCACTTCCTTGAGTGCATGGAAGGAAGGATCGCAACCCCCGGTCCGTGCGGAGTCCATGGGGGTGCGAACTAATTTTTTGCTTCTGCGGAAGCGGATCCTTGCTCCTCGGTCTGGGCTGAGTGGGCCTATGCACATTAGGTCCCAACTCCGCCTCACCTTCCCCAGAACCCTCTCAGCCTGGTCCTAGTCGATTGGCGAGAAACCCAGTTGAGTTTTGAAGCTTTTCTAACCTTGAAACCCCTCTCCCATCGACTCCGATCATGTGCCCCGTTAGGAATCGATCACCAGTTGCAGACTCCGACTTCGGAGACACCACGGAACAACCCATAGACCCCGTCCACTTCTTTGGACTCGGTTCCGAGGTCCCCGACTTCGTCGATCCTCCTCCTGCTGATCCTCCCATCCCCACTGTCCCAACCACCGACAATGCCGAACCCACCTCCAACGTGGCTATTGCACAATTGGCCCAAGCCATTGCCAGTCTGGCTCATCACACCGGATGACAACGACGACAACCATCTTCTGCTCTCCGGACCAAGGTCCGCGAACCCGAACAGTTCGATGGAAAGGATCCCCGAGAACTCCGAGTATTCTTGGTCCAATGCGAGCTCAATTTCCAGGACCGTCCCCTCGCTTTTGCTAGCGACTGCGCTAAAGTCATATTTGCACAGTCCTACCTCAAGGGAATGGCCCTCGATTGGTTTGAGCCGGACCTGTTATTCGACCAGAATTCCACGCTTCATCCGCGATGGATGAACGACTATCAAGAGTTCGTTGATGAACTTCAAACTAACTTCGGCCCTCACGATCCTGTGGGCGATGCCGAGGTTCAACTGATGACCCTGGACATGAAGGATGGGCACCACATCAATAAATATGTCGTCAAGTTCAACCAACACGCCTCTCAACTTCACGGTTACGGAGAAGCCGCGCTTTGTCGTTTTTTCTACCACGGATTGCCGGAATGTATCAAGGACGATATTGCCAGAGTAGGTAAACCCTCTACTCTCTCTGAACTTCGCACCCTGTCCCAAACTCTCAATGCGCGCTATTGGGAGCGTAAATCGGAAGTTACACGTCACATGAAACCCTCTTCCTCTAACGTTTTCGACAAGTCCACCGCCACTTCTCGTTCCGACCCTGTCCCTTCCTCCTCCTCTTTCAACTCCGCTTCCGGTAGTAGGCTTCCGAAGGACAATAAAAAGTCCGAGGCCAGCTCCGCTAAACCAGACCTCTCATCTAAACTTGGAGACAACAGCAAGCTCACGCCACAAGAGCATAAGCGTTGTCTCGACAAGAAACTTTGTATGTTCTGCGGTCAGTCTGGCCACATGGTCAAGGACTGTCCCAAGTCTTCTTCTCGCGCATCTAAGTTGCGAATGAGTGCAAAGGACTTTTGGTGCCATACAAGACGTGTACTAGTCAGGGAGTAATAAAATACTGTCAGAGACCAGATTTGAGACGAAGGAGAGTCTCCATGGCGGAGGGCTTTGGCCTCAGCGACTTATGCCAAGAGCGCTGTGCCTAGTGACACGTCCGTGCCCTAACTTACTGACTGGCAATCAGAACTGAAGGGGGGGGGGGTAACTCTAGTCGATTTTATTACTGGAGTGTAACCTATGTACAAGTTGGATATATATATGGTTACAGTGAAGATGGGTCCACAAATGGCGGAGCCGAACGGAGCGGAGCTAATGGGGTTAAACATTAGCTGACTGAATGTTACCGACGAGTCGGGTTGCGGGGTTAGCGGAAAGGCAGGCAATAACCCAGAAACGGAAAGGAGGGATAGGCCCGAAGGTGGGCTCTGCAGGGCAGGCGAGTGTATTTCCCAGCGGAGGCGGGAGTGCGCTAGCGGATGTCGGAGCTGTCCGGGAGTCTTTGGGGCTCCATACTTAGGGAGGTGTAGGTAATAAATTGAAAGGAGGGGGTGGTGACCATTGAGGGGTACCGAGAGGATTGCGGAATATGGGAGCTCCAAGGTTAGTGAGGAAGGAGCGGAGTTAGACCGGAGGGATCGGAGGGACTGGAAGTCGATGGCCAGGGATGGATATGACACCCCCTGGTTAAATAAAAACCAGGTAAGCTTAGACTTCCGGTCTCATAAAGTGAGAACAGTGAACAAGGGTAACATAGACACCCTTGGAGTCAGTGAAGACTGTGCGATGAGATCACATGGGTGGAAAACTCGAGCAAGGGCTTGAGAACAGCCAAAAAAGAAGCCTCCCTGACAGGGAGGCGAGACAAAAACACACCTCAGGGTAATCGGAAGGAAGTACCCTGAAGGTTGGCCCAATCCTAGTCCAGGAGGACTAGAACTTCCAGACATACCACATCTGGAAGGTCTCCCCATGAACAGCCCCGAGTTCGAAATACTCAGCGAGTGTGTTAGAGATGTGTCGCGGATTCAGACAACTCCGGAGTGGAATCGGAGACTTAGCATGGAGGGACCTTGGCCTCAGCGACTCAAGCGGAGCACTGTGCCATTGCTGTTTGTCCATTTGGTCCTTAATTTCACAGTAGGTGAGCAGGAAGTCTCTAGGGGGCATTTCAGGTCGATTTCAGACTGAGCCCAAAACGAGTATGTACAAGCGCCGATATATATAATGGAGGGGGCAAAAGCACAAGGAAACAAAGGGGATCCGAATCGGAACAAAGATGTCCAAACGGGAACAAAGGGTAGACAGAAGCGGAGCAGTACCAAAGGTCATAAGGCAGGACCTGTGATACGTCCGAAAGGAGGTAGGGAGGGTGAGGCCCAGAGGGGCAGGAGGATGAGGAGAAGTGGGGATGATGACTAACTGGCTAGAATGGGAAGAAGCAGCAGTCCAAATAGGGATGAGGGGAAAACGCGAGAGATACATTACAAGTGGCGAAAGTGCTGAAGGCAATCCATGAAGCTTGGAGGTTGCGGAGGTTACGGAGGTTATGGAGGCAGGGTTGAAAGTCCAAGGAATATTGACAATGGTGTTTACAGTATGTAGTATGAGGTCACCAATGCAATGGACTAAGACCGAGGTGGAGTCAAAGTCTGAGGTAGGGATGATGGAGGCTCGGAGCAAAGGTATGAGCGGTGCCTGAGTACGAAGTACGGGACAGCAGTGGTAGGTCGTAACTTGGTGGGAGGTTGGTGGAAGAGTACCAGAGGGAGGAGAGAGGAGAAAGGGAAGAGAGAAGGAGTGGCGGAAAGGAGAGTTGTCGGGTCTGAAGGTGAGTATCGGAGCAGACGGGGGAAGCGTAGGAGGATGACGGAAGGGTGGAGGTGTTGTGAAGGAGGAGCAGAGGAGTAGGAGGAGGAGTAGTAGGAGAGTGGCGAGAGGGCGGTGTTCGGTCCGGGGTAAGTATCAGAACGGAATGAGATAGGGGAGGAGTGGAGGTGGCATCGGAGGTAAGAGGAGGTGTGTTGCCAGGACTGAAGGTGAGTATCGGAACGGACAGCAGTAGGGTAAGACTCCGGAGGTGGGGAAGGAGGAGGTCCGGAAGTCAGGTCGGGATCGGGTATGCACAGATATGACAGAGTGGTGGAGAGAGAAATTCAAAATTGTAATGGTGCCAGTGGCATTAGAAATGCCTCCCTTGAGGGAAATGAACCATCAAATCCCATTAAAGGATGGCGAAAAGCACATTTGTGGGCAACTCAGTTGAAGCACAGTATATTCTCTCTTGCCAACATCAGCAGGCAGTCGTTCCAGCATGTAATCCATGATTTATAATGCGGAGACATGGAAAGTTGCAAATGACTTCAAGCATCGGGATTTCCTGTTGAGAAGGTCTGACTTGGGTGGACCGTGGGATTGACTTGCGACATTTTCGTCAGACTCACAGACCTGGGTCTTTCCGACCTTGTGCAACCAGGTCTGTACTACACTGGAATTGCAGGTGGCTATGTCCCATTTGGGGGAATGCATATGGTTGCGTGATATAGGAGTGATGGGTGGTCAAACGGGGGTGGCACTGCCACCACCCACTACACCTGACCGCTGTAGACCTTGTGCAGATTACACCATTTGGGTTATTGAGGGATGCGGCCTGGGCCCCACTGTCTCTGCTGACACACACGATTCAGATCCAGGGACATTTCGTTCACATGCCAATTATTTACATTGAAACCCTGACCATACTTACAATACAAATAGCGGCTCTGATCACGGCCTGCTCGATGTTCCGGAGCGCCACTTAGAGCTCTTGCACACTGTGTTGGACCGGCGAACAAGTCAAATGGGGTGCTAAAGGGGAAATCAGCCTGTAGTTGGTTGCAGATGGATGTAGATGTGCAGCATTGAGGAAAGGGTCAGAATGTCCAATTTTCCGTTTGAATTCTGTGTCTGCTACCTGATACAAGGTTGCAATGTAGAGGATGGGTTGAATGGGGTAAAGGCTGGTGAAACGGCATAGATACAAATTCCTCTCTTCAGGCTTGTTGCTAGATCAAAATTGATAGTTCGGATGCAAATTTGAGGAAAATTTTCCGTTCCCCCCAAACCAAAAATCACTGGTAGAACAAGAAATCACCCCAGAATGCCTTCCCTCCTGCAGAACGCATCTTCAAATGCATTTGACTCATCAATTCTGACCCTTCAGGCCACTTTCTCCAGTGGCATGACCTTGTTGACTACGGCTTCCACTGCCAACAACTTCCTCAGAGCTACAGATGGCCCGTTTGCAGAGTTGAAAGAGCTTGTTGCACAACATACTTCCATCAAAGACAGGCCACAATTCCAACCACTTGTCCCCCCTGATCAAATTGTGAAGGGAATTGTGCAGAAAATATGGGGTCATCCATCTATTGAGACAGTCGGAGATATTGGCGATATACTGGAGAAGGGACTCGTTACGGATGATTTGAGCCTCAAAGGTGCGTTGGTGTCTCTGTTGCTTACACCGTTTAGAAATACTCAAAGACCCCCTGCAGTTTTTTTAGAAGTTTGCATTGCCGGTTACGCACAGAAAAAGGGGAAGTCCCCCCAAGAAGTCATGAAGAGGTTCTGTCATATCCGTGCATACCCGACCCCGACCCGACTTCCGGACCTCCACCCTCTTCACCTCCGGAGTCATAACCTACCACTGCCTTTCCGATACTCACCTTCGGTCTTGGCAACACACCCCTCCTCTTACCTCTCCGACCCCTTCTCCGTCCGTTCTGATACTCATCTCGGACCGAACATCGCCCTACTCGCCACCCTTCCTACAACTCCGCTCCCCCCTCACCACACCTCCACCCTCCCGTCATCCCCTACGCTTTCTCCGTCCGTTCCGATATCCACCTTCGGACCTGACTACTCTTCCTTACCTGTCCCCTCTCTCCTTCCTCCGTCACTCCTCCGCCACCCTTCCACCAAGTTACGACCATCCACCGCTGTTCCGTACTTCACACTCGGACACCGTTCGTACCTTACTCCAAGCCTCCGTCATAGTCCATACCTCGGACTTTGACTCCACCTCGGTCTTAGTCCATTGCATTGGTGACCTCATACTACGTAAACACCATTGCCAATATTCCTTGGACTTCCAACCCCGCCTCTGTAACCTCCGTAAGCTCCGCAACCCCCAAGCTTCGCAGACCGCCTCCGGCACTCTCGCCGTTTGTAATGTATTTCTCGCAATTCCCCCTCATCCCTATTTGGACTACTGCTTCCTTCTATTCTAGCCAGTTAGTCATCACCCCCACTTCCCCTCATCCTCCTGCCCCTCTGGGCCTCGCCCACTCTACCTCCTTTCGGATGTATCACAGGTCTTGCCCTATGACCTTCGGTACCGCTCCGCTCCCTCTAACCCTTTGTTCCCGTTCGGACGTCTTCGTTCCGATTCGGTCACTGTCAGGGCACGGCCTAACCGGCTACCCTGACCCCCTATGCCGGAAGGGAGTTGCCGTAAGACGATCCGGAGTGATCCGAAGAACACAGGTAATCTCGCTTAGCTTTCACTTAGCTCCCGCTTCTATCTTCCGTCCACATGTCACCCCTTTCCCACACCTCGCTTACGATTACCCGAATGAATATCTATCTTTTCATGTCGTCATTCTATCGGCTGTTCTTATCTCGTTTGTAGCCGCACTCTAGTGGATAGCGGTGTCCATGTATATAAGCCCTATCTCTGCTGAAGGTGGCACTTCAGCGTTAACAATGACTAGGATTCTCGGGAACACCCTTATCGCCGCGAACTGACGCGCAGTCCCTGACAGTCACCCTTTGTTTCTCCTTGTGCTTTTGCCCCTTCCTTATATATATCGGCGCTTGTACATACTCGTCTGGTTTCAGTCCGAAATCGACCTGAAATGCCCCCAAGAGACTTCCTGCTCACCTACTGTGAAATTAAGGACCAAATGGACAAACAGCAATGGCACAGCGCTCCGCTTGAGTCACTGAGGCCAAGGTCCCTCCACGCTAAGTCTCCGATTCCACTCCGGAGTCGTCCGTTTCCACCCATCTCTAACAGGTTCCGTTTACACAATCCCACTGAAGCGGGCCAAACGGCTTGGCAAACATGGCTTAAGCTTCACCGTAAGTTAACCACATACTCGCAAGATATTAGGAACTAATCATTTCCTAGCTGGAATTGACAGTCAAGAAGCAGCATGCCTGCATAAATTACAGCAACAGGATATCGATAGGAAGTGCCCTGACCAGGCAGAAGAAGCAAAAGCGTTCTATGATAAAATTCTGGTACATTGCGGGGACCTTGTTTTATCAAAGGATGAGCGGGAGGCTCAACCAAATGAAGGCCTTTATCTGTTGCAGAAAATAACGGGAAAATATGCTGCTCAGGTATAGTACAGAATCCAGTAACTATCGCAATCAATTGTACTGAAAAATTTGCTGATACCTTGCTGCACTCAGCTTCATTCATCCTGTTGGGGTGGCATTAGTGGGGTTCATAGCAGATGACAAGCTTGCCCCTCGGGATTCGACTATCGCATTTACGAGCTCACCAATGATTGTGGAAATGGTCAAAGCTATGGGCCTACCCCTCACAGAGGATAGTGCCTTAGCCATGAGGAACTTCTATGATGGGATAAAGGCATTCAGGTACAAGGTTTATGTAGGAAAGGCACAAATAACTTACTCATATCCTTCCAGCCCATATCAACCTGATGCCATTAAACAGAGGTATGAGCAATTTGTCTCCTAGCCCGCATTGGCTGAAATCGGCACAGAACCTTTCTTCAACATCTTGGGGCGTTTACGAACCCCGATAAATCTACCAGTGAGGTGTTTGGTGCCTCAAGCCTCATGAAGACCGTCGTGATGCACATGAAGCAAAGTGTCCATTTCAGCGATGATCTGGACAGGTATTTGGGAAATAGAACGGGAAACATGGCCATCAAATCAGAGGTTGAGGGCAATGCGAACGACATGGATTACCACACACCCGCATTAAAAAGGAAGGAAGGCCTCACCTTTGCAGACAAGACCTACAGCTCGCATCCCCAACGCTGCACTGAGTGTGCTTGTCATATCCATTCCCGGCCATCGACTTCCGGGCTCTCCGACCCCTCCATTCTAACTCCGCTCCCCCCTCACCAACCTCGGAGCCCCCGTATTCTGCAAACCTCTCGGTACCCCTCGATGGTCACCACCCCCTCATTTCAATTTATTACCTACGCCTCCCTAAGTACGGAGCCCCGAAGACTTCCGGACAGCTCCGACGTCCGCTAGCGCACTCCCGCCTCCGCTGGGCAATACACTCGCCTGCCCTGCAGAGTCCACCTTCGGGCCTATCCCTCCTTTCCGTTTCTGGGTTAACGCCTGCCTTTCCGCTAACCCCGCGAACCGACTCGTCGGTAATATTCAGTCGGCTAATGTCTTAACCCCGTTAGCTCCGCTCCGTCCGGCTCCGCCAATTGCGGAACCGTCTCCGCTGTAACCATATATATACACTACTTGTACATAGGTTACGCCCCAGCAGATAAATCAACTAGAGTTACCCCCACTAGGTTCTAAGTGCCAGTCAGTAAGTTAGGGCACGGACGTGTCACTAGGCACAGCGCTCCTGGCAGAAGTCGCTGAGGCCAAAGCCCTCCGTTACGGAGACATTCCTTCATCTTAAATCTGGTCTCTGACAGTGCTGGGCGGCTTAAAGCAATCATTTGTATGTCCTTTTGCCATGCCATCTGATTGCTCATCTGACATCTACTTGTAGTGGAGGCAACAGGGATAACTGAGCTTGGACACAACTGGAGAGTCGCCAACATACTTTCATTCATGCTTGAGCATCGTCTCCATTTTGTTGGTTGGCATCGTGGTGTCCCACGCTTGAACAAATCACTACTGTGCGATTGGACCCCATGTGAGTCTGCACGGTGTATAATGCAGCTCACTCACCAGGATCCGGAGCAGACGTTGAGGGTGGAACAAATGACAGCTGGTGAGGAAAATGTCAATGAAACTTCAAAAAAACACAGCTCACCGGTTTGGGCTTACCAGACGAGTACCTGATGCGTGAGGTGCTACACTATGCACCAGATGCGAAAGGGAATATTACGAAATACCTATTGCCTGAACACAAGACAAGGAGGGCAATTGCGAGGACAGCAGTCGTCCCCACATGAACCCAAAAACGTAAGGAAAGCACGCCAAACTCCCCAACTGTGGAGATGGAAGGAGATTCGGTCAGTGATAATCAAATATCATCCCCATCTTCCAAGCGACACAAGAAGTCCAAAGCCACTCGTGCATGCACCCTCACGAAGGCAAAACCTCCCCATGTGACACCTGGGGGCCACAACCAAATGAAAGAAGCTGTGGTACCAGAGAACGAGGTGAAAGGTCCACAGGACGATGGCATCGTACCTGAGACACCACCTTGCAACTCACCTGAACCGGGCGGGTCTTCATCATCATCAGTAAAGTTAGAGGCAATAAACCTGACAACGTTCCCATCGGGTGTATGCTCAGGCTTCCAGCAAGGACATGGGCCGCAACTCCCTGCTGACCCAGAAAACGATGTCTTTGTTGGAGAAAGGGATCAAGTGATCTCCCAAACCATCAGGGAAGGGGTACCCCCCCCCTGGCATAACGGGCGAGTAGTGTATGGATGCACGCTAGAGGTCCTGGGTTCAATACCATGCTTGTCCATTTTATGTCATTTGTCCAGTCACCTGGTTTACCTCATTTGGATATCACGGAGTAAGTCCGGGCAGGCAACGTGCAATTTCTTCAGTCTTCATGGAGCAAGCCATTCTGGAATCACATACGCCAATGGTCATCCCTCCAATTAGGCTCATCCATCCAACACCGCATAGTACTCCCCTCAAAGTTCAACCAGTGTTAAAGATTAATGGAAGTACGCACCTCACTGTGAATGAAGGTCCAACATCCTGGGCACTGTCGGAGGCACCGTCATCCGTATCAAGCCTAAGTGGTGAGCCTCCCACCTTTGACACCTTGTTCAGGTGTGCACAAAACTCAGGGTGGCGGGCTGCATCGAAAATGTTGCCAGTGGTTCATTTGAAGGCGCTAATGGAAGAAAATGTTGAACTCCTAGTCAACATCGACATCATTGCCCTGCATGTTACCGAGAAGGAGCCACCTCCTGAAGTCTTAGATGTCGCTCAACACTGGAGAATGATTAGCACTGTTGGAAACGAGCTTTGTGACAGGGGGGCTGATGTAGGAAAGGTTGCCAGGAGGGTGGTCCAACTGCTTGACGAGTTGGAAGTGAATGATGATGAGGATGTGATAGCTACATGGATACAGATGTTGCCCAGTTGAGTAACCCAAACATCACAACCGATCATTGGAAAGATATGTAGGTATCTTACAATGAAAATATTGCACGCATCATTATTAAACCTATGGGCTGGGCACAAGTGCAACGCATAAGCTCAGCAAACATAAAACACATCAGGAAGTTATATGCTACAAATTATTCTAGAGTATATACAAAGTGAACAGAAACCGGTCACAGACAGCTACTGTGTGATTGTCAGGAACGTGTCAGACGCGTGTCCAGGTGACCTGCAAGGCACACGAAGTCATCCGGGCTCGTAAGGTCGGAGGGGTGGGACTTTTAGCTTCAGCGACTCAGGTGGAGTGCTGCACTTTGTTCTTACATTGGTGTCCCAATTTCAGACAGAAGCCTTACGATGAGGAGAGGAGTCTAGAAGGGGAATCCAAGTCGATATACGAACTAAGGTACATCCAGTGTAACCTACACGCGTTATAAACACAAGTAACTAAATAGGACTGGCCTGGAAGGAGTGGCAGATCAAGCATGATATTAATGAATGAAGAAAGGAACAAATAGTTAATATTGGCAAACTTGGTCAACAAAAGGCAAGCAAGGAACAAAAGGAGGAACAATAGTCTGCAAGTGGACAAAAGAGAAAAGGCCATCTGGCCATCTAGCAAGCCGTCCGGCTGGTGAGCGGACAACAATGAAGTGGGCAACCTAGGTTGGAAGGTACGCATGTGAGGGAGGAAGTGCAGATGAGGGTGATGGGTGGACGGATGGGTGGACGGATGATGATGATAGCGGGAGGGATGGGCCAAGTGGCACTAGGACACGTAGGCGGAAGTGATGGATATGTCAGGTCGTGACAGTGATGCTCTCCGACTACTACTTGCCGCTTAACTCTTCTGGAGTCGGCTTGTTTGGGGGAGCAGGAGGGCTCTCTGCAACTTTGAGTGCAAAAAGACCAGTTTTTGGCTGCCAGTGAATGGACTCAAACTCTTCTTGAGGCGGGTTTCCTGATCTCTTCAACATCTTGGTTGATCAGAATTCGATGCCCTCAAAAAGCTGCCTCCCAGAATCGGCAATGAAACGGACAACACAAGGGTAAATAGAGTCTTCGGCAGGGTAGATCCGCTGGCGGAATGCACGTTTGAAGCAGTGAAGGCAACAGAGAATGAGACAAAAATGAAGGAGGCCAAAGTACTCTTCTTCGCTTAACTCGAATGGCCTATGCAGGCATATTTTTTTTAACACTTCGCATTTGAAGGTCACCTCCACCATATTGAATGGCGTACGCCCTCAGCTGGTTGTCGTCATCATAATCCGGAAGCGATTGTATTCAAAGAGATCCTGTGAATACATGCACATCCATAGCTCTGTTGCTTCGGATGGTAATGTGTCAGGGCCCTGAGGGATGAGCGGGGCTGGTGCATGATCCAGTAGGGTTTTGATTGTAGTTTTGTCAAATCCATGAGAAAAGACTTCACCAGTATATCCAAGCTCATGTACCCACTTGGGGTATAATCCTGCATATTGATATCTCTGAGAAGGGCATCAGGGAATCTTGCTTGGAGGTACCACTTAAGGCTTTGAGCTTCCTCCTGTGTCTTGCAGAGTAGGTTAAGACAGTGCATCGAACCGTCCCACCTGTCCACTTTCTGATTCACCATGTGGTCACACACTTCTCAGTAGGCAAGAACACCCCGCTGCTTGACCACTTCCAAGTCATGACATAGCTCCAGCATAGGGCCTGACAGGCATATGGATATGCCTAGCCATGTGTCAGGGGCAGTGACAGAGCCGGCCTTGGACAACGAAATAGCACTGGACATGCCAGTAAAGGGTATGGACTGATTTGACAATGGAAGGGGATGTTGAGGTTGGTAGTATGAGAAAGGGATTTTGATAAACGCTGCCATCAGTGGAGCATGCACACCGATGGGGAATGGTACTCTCATTTTCTTCCATTTGGCCCCTTCCAAGGCCGTGCTCAAATGCAGGCCCTCCTCGTATTTTGAATCCAGCCAGACTCCTTGAAGCACACCCTTCATTAAGGTAGAGAGGTTTTTGAACGGAGTAGGATCCCCCTCAGGGGCAAGCGCTTTCAGACATTGTTCCATGGCAAAGCGCTGAGTAGGGGGATCATCTTGTGGAGCTGCAAGCAGGAATTGCTGTGGGCGGGAACATGTAACAGTTTCTGTAACAACAAAGTCGAATCTGTTACAGGAATGGGTTCTGGGGAACCCAACCTGAGCCGTTCTGCTCACGGATGGAGGTGGCTGCATAGCTGTTGAGGGGAGAGCAGGAGGAGATCCAAGGCCAGGTGGGCTAACGGTAACTTGGCACTCCGAGGAGCATACCAGCAGCGGGTGTGGTGGTCTGCTAACAGTGACTTGGCACTCCAAGGAGCATACCAGCAGCAGGTATAGTGGGGGCTCCTTGAGGGAGCCACCTAACAGTCGGCTAGCAGTGACTTGGCACTCATGTGAGCTTACCAGTAGCATGGGTAGTTGGCACTCCTTGAGGGAGTAGCCCAGTGGTTGACTATCGGTTACTTGGCGCTCAGGGGAGTGTACCGGTAGCGGGATTTGTTGGGACAGACAGGTTGGTTGACCAGTGCACGGTAGTGAGTGACTGTGGGAATTTGGGCCTGTGGGTATGTGGCCAGGCATCCTGGGGCTGCCTGAGTCACCTCTCCCTCCCAAGAAGGGAGGAAGGGTTGTAGGACCCAGTAGGGTACTACAGGAAGGGTAGGAATGGGAGCTCAACCACCCAGTGGGGGGGTGGGAGCAGGAAGGGTGAGGTCCGGTGTCTCAGCACTCACCGCGTCGTTGAGGTTTCCTCATGGATTGTAAGAATATTGATGTAGACATCAATATGGACCAAGTCAGATGTTACAGGGAAGGTTTACAGGTGGTGGCACACTGGGATGACAGTTACAATCACTGGGTGATAGTCTGAGATTGTATATTCGATAAAGAGAACAGTTCCGGCATCTGCCTTATACATCATATGACTTCTAACTATCTAATATAAAAATCATAATGGTCAAAGGAAGTCCCTTGAAACTCAACAAATCCCCCAGCCAGCACCAAAACCCAGTGGGAAAGCTTGGCATGGGGTTTGACAAAGAAATAAAGTTGAAGGGGCTAAGGTTTGATTGTCTATAGTCATGGACCATAAGATTCTAGGTCCATTCCCATAACAGAATCCCACAGTGATATCCCCCTTCATGATGCCGTTCGAAGCCTTGGCCTGAGCACGGCTCCGTATCTCCTGTTGAAGAGCATGTTCTGCTGCATGATCATGCAATGGTGAACATGATCGACAGACTGCAAAGTGTTTTTCACCATATTCCACCCTCCAATGAGGAACTCCCCACTGTTCCAGAGTGAGGGCAAAAGCCTGAGCAGAAGCACTGAGGGTGGAGTTGTGGACCTCGGTGTGAGTGCCATCCAAGCCGTCAAAGATGGTCCCAATGGCTAATTTTTGAATTGGCCATGTCAGAAGTTCCATACCACCCAGTATGGCGCATGCATCGAGGGAAACGAGGAGGCAATAACGAAGATAGCCTCGTGGCTCTCCAATCCGATGTTCAATCTCACCAACCGTTTCATGGTGATAGTTCTTGGACTCCGCAATCATCCGGGATTGAAGCAGCTTCTCAAGGTAGACATCTGATTCATGCTTGAGTATCGCCATAGTTTCATGATGTGAAGGGAGAATTTCTGCATGGCAGAGATGAGAAACGGTAGTCCGAATGTGGCGAAGAAGTTGTTTCAGCAACGAGTTCGTGCCTATAATCTGCTCCCTCCACTCAGACGTTGGGAGCCAATTCAAACCATCAGGGGAACGTTGCAAGTCAATATTAAGAATAGGTGATGGGATATAATGAAAAGGGGAATGGCATTCGATAAGCGGGAGGTGCAGGTGGAGTGGGTCGAAGCTGACTGGTCTCCGACAAAAGTCCACAAACTCGCGATATCTTTGAGAGGTGTTAAGGACACTTGTCCTTGTTGAAGGGGTGGCGTTCACCCATACATATGATCCATCATAGGAGCACATAGCATGGGTGTTCACTGCCATGATACGAATCGGCATCTGATGGTAAGCGTGCTTCATGGTGCCACCTAGGACATCCTTTATGTATTAGACTGGGAATGAGGCGATAGTGATCAGCTTACGGGATAATTCTGTTCTCCAATTTTCAACGTGGGCCACAGCCTTGGGGGTGGGGGAAAGTGGCTGAATGGGTCGAAGAGGTGCACCTGGCGAAAACATCACACTGTGTGAGAATAACAATTAATTCTAGACATACTATGCATACCTCGACATAGCATCTCTTAGCAAGGACGTTGTTCCTCCGTCCTGTGCCATGATCTGTTCAACTGAGATGAAGTGTGCGATATATGGTGGTGGTGCCCTTAGTCTTGGCAGTGGATCATAGGAGGAGGGCAGGGGGAGTGGACGATGGTACTGCGAGATGGGGACTGGGGTATATGGGCCGATGGGATTTGGGCTTTGCTGAACCGAACGTCTTCCATGGATGGAGGAGGGTGACAATGTTCTGGGTCATACAGAGGTGCTGGCGGCTCCGCAGAGGATGGCAAGGGAAGTGAACGAGAAGGCTGGAATTCTAGTCGGTATTGGGGAATGGGAACGGAAGCTTGGGCCAATGGCATTCAGGCTTCGTGGAATCGACCTTCCATGGCTGGAGGCGGGGCATGGTGGCGTGGTGGAGCATATGGAGGCTTTGCAGGCCCATGGAGATGGTGTGTAAAGGTTCCGGATCCTGAACAGTGTGTGAAACGGGAAGAAGGATGAGAGACTTCATGGGGCAAAGGCGATCTGCAAGACACCAGACGTGGACACCAGGAGCTTCGATGAAGTGGACACTGCTCACCCTCTCGCACCTCAGAGCGATGGTACGAATCTGGTGGGAGACCAGGTGATCCTCTTCTTTGTGCAGGTGAGCGCTGGTGAGGGGAACAGCTTCGTCGACGCCACTGGTGAACGGAGCTTGGCCTCTGAGGGGGGA